CGGTGTACACATGCAAAGCTGTTCCTTTCAACTTGACAGCTGAAAATGAACATCTTTAACTCTCTGTCCAGACATTCATTTTACAACAAATTTCAAAATTTGTCAACCAATATTCAAAGGCAAGTGACCCACCATCGTAAGATTCAGGCATGATGACAGGCTAAGGCTTGTGTAATAAATTACTTGCATTTAGGGTGTCACGTGAGGCAATACCAGTTTGGTTGGCACCAGAGTGATAAGATGTTTGAGAGTTGAATGGGTTGGTGGAACTGCCTACTGGCAAAGTGACTGTGTGGTAGTGAAGCACTACTAGTGACTCCCCCCAAGGAATGACCGAATGCTGAAGGAACAAAAGGATTTTTTGTATTATACATTGGTGTAGACGGGTGAAGTGTTTTCATATACATGTAGCTACATGTATCAGTACATTAAACCAGTGTACCCATTTCAGCAAATGCTACTTGTCTTTGTCCAAGCGTATCTGGTAACAGCCCTTGTTGATTAAGCATGGTATCGTTTCTTGCAATTATCACATTACTATGTTCCACAAATGTGCTTAGCACATAAGTGGTTGGCAATGACTCCCCATAAGTCGAGTCTGCCTTTGGTGTTGTGAGGGAGGATTAAAGAAAAGGCCCTTGGGGAGTGTTGACCACCCCCCTGCACCATCACCGAGTCACCCATGTGTCTATCATAAGCTCCATCAATTTCAGCTTCTAAAACTCTAATTGACTTTCCTAATGTTTCATACTCATTTCTTGACTATTCATCAATTGCAACTAATCCAATTCTCTGTCGATAACACACAAACTTTCTGTCACTAGATTCTAGTTTGCAATATAATGGAAAGCATTAGTAACCGAAGACTGACACTGGGTGAGGTAAAACTAATGAAAACAAAGTGTGATCCCCCTATTTCTGCGGGCAATGCAAACAAGTCTCCAACCTTTGCAAAATTAATAATTATCAAACCCGATGTTACTACGATCTGGTGCAGCACATGGCGAGAGGTGTCTTCAGAAAACGCCGATGTCATTTCACTCACCTACTGCACCAAGGTACCATTATTTCTAATATTAGTTTAACCTAAAATTAGAGTTTGGGCCTTTATTATCTAAAAAAAAAATGTCTAATCCCACCGCTGCCACCAATTGCAGCGTGGTCAGGAGCCACGACAAGGCATATAGATGTAAAACCGAGAAAGATGTTTGCCAACTCAATTTAAATCACTGTATTAAACACACACAAAACTATCCCCGTACTTAACCCTTTCGCGCAGCTAATTCTGTCAACCGTTACTGCTGGGCTGTGGTATGCCTGAATGGAGGGCTTTGTCCATCAGCAGGCCCCATTGAACCAGCAGCTTGATGGTAAATAGACTGTAATTGTGGTATGCACTAATCCTCACACAAAGCCGCGGCTCTTGCTGTCTCCAGAAGCGAAGGGGTTAATTATCACCACTGTATTATTTTTAAGGGCAAGTGGTCTACAGTTTGAATTAATAGATCACATAGATCATGTTATTGTGAACATTTATGGCAAAATAATGCAAGCTTCAAGGTAACTGATTATGAAAAACTAAAAAGGGTGGGGCTCTGTGATGGTCTCAAGAGTGTGGGGTAAATTATGGCTAATTAAAAGCACCATAACTGTACCGGGGGGGGTTGACGAAGTTGTCTTATACTACATCTTACTTGGTCATTACATTCAGGCCTTCCCTTGCCATGCAGAGGCAAAACCTATACACAGCCCTCCACACAGAGATCTTACCCTTAACACAGCACCCAGCAGACTGAAGTGCACAGGGTTATTTTGAGTGTCAGAATACAGGTCTAACAGTAGTTTTTACATGAGCTAACAATGCATGTACAGCATGCCTGACTGGACTGACACACATAGCCCTGGGAGTGTGATGGATGGGAGGGGCAGATTAAACCAAGAATAGGGGGGAGCAAAACACCTATTCACAGGGGCTGTTTTCATTACAGTATATTATTAGTGAGTAGTGGAATGATGCGAGAACATTGCTAGGTAGCTGTGATCAGGTGATCCAGTAAAAGGTGTTGTATCAGGTGGCACAGGAATTGAAGACTGCTAAGTTGCCTTTCAGGGTGATCGGGTGATCCAGTTTAACTGTAGTGTGTCAGGTGGCACAACCATGCATCCCTTGTCTCGTGTGTATTAGTGTGCATTCTCTGCAAGTCAGTGGCCCTGTGCTTCAGTATAAGCATAGAGCTACAAACCCAGGTTTGTAGCTCTATGGTATAAGCGTACTCCTCATCTTTAGCCTGTTTTATCATTAGAAGTGTAAGTAGGCAATTCGTTTATTACCAGGTTTATTATAAAGAGTAACAAAACCAGTGATAAGCTGTGGCCAAAGTTCTAAGAATGGTCTGACCATGAGTTGTGTTCGTCCGTATATGAGTCACTTCTACTAGCTTCACTGTGAAACATACCTTACTCATAAAGACAAATGAGAGACCTAATATGTGAATTTGCATGACATATGAATGATGCGGAATTCGAGTTTAATAAACCATTATTTTCTATATAGTTTGGTTACGTCTTTATATCCCCAAAACGTTTCTCTTAAAAATAAACGTAATTACTAACCAACACAAATTCTCCAAAAATACTTGATAGCCATTGGTAGCAATGACAAGAAAACTGAAAGAAAATAGCTGGTCCAGAGGAAAATAACAAAATACACATAAACATGGGAAGATTCGTTCTCGCCACAATTGGCCAGGCATGAAACCTCACCACGTCAAATGCATTCCTGCGGTATGTTTCCACCTGCTTTTAACATAGAAACCACTGGGATTGTGATTAATGATATGAATGTCACAGTTCATATTTTGGGTATGTGTTCTATGCTGCCAGAATCTCAAAATGACATAACTGACTTTAAAAACGTCCGACTTTTGCGAAATAACAACCTCTTATTCGGAATTTTGGAGTGTATCTGTGGGGATTACTCGCTGACTCATGAGGGCTATTGAAGAGAACTACGCATCTTCTTCATGCATCTTTTCGACCATTTATTTACTTCAGTATGCTGCAGCGAAAAATGGTGAGTCTGTGGGTTACCAACTACCTGGCGGTAGCAATCACTGTGTACAAAGAATGGCTTGGGTCTTCAATACTGGGGCCAGTAACTGCGCTTTGTCTATGGAACCGACCGGAGCACTTTATTGGATTACAATCTGTAGGGACTTCATTCTAATTCCTTGTGTTTAAAAGCTCCATGTTTAGTCATGACCTAGCTTTGCAAAATATATGACCAAACAAACATGGCTGCCTCCATGTAAACAAAGGAATGTATAGGCATTTACCATGTTAAGGGGACAATTTCCTTTGTTAGGTAAATTTAAATTGGGTTGTGGTGACATTTCTGAGTTCCTGCAACATTGTTGGTACCCACAAATTAGGCAAAATATCAAATGTATGTCCCCACAACTACAGATCAAGAAATAATGTGTGTGTAGGTGTATGTAATATATAACTGAAGGGAGAAATTGAAGACAAGATCAAATGGAAGACAATATGAATTTTTGTTATATTTCTGTTGCACTATTGCTGTGATAAAACATTATAAGTAGATGTCTGTCACCATTCCCCTGCCCCAAAGTAATACCAAACAGTGTTCAAAAAGCATAAAACCCCATCCTCGGAGAGACTGTTACCCCAGCGAGAAATATTTTTTGGCTCCCCTTTATATATGGTTCTGGATTCATCCTTGAAAAATATCCAGTTTGTCCATAATGCTTTTACAAAATTAGAAGCATGCTTTTTCCCCCTCAAGCCTAGCCCTGATTGGGCCTAAAGTGCCTGTTCGTTGCATCATCCAGAACCTGATTACTTGAAACTCTCAGCTGTGATTGGTCAAACCGTGAATAATGAGTGGTAGAATATTTTTCAGAATCCTTTATACTTTTTGTGGAAACGTCACATTATTGTGCATTCCAATGGCAGCATTGAGTATAATTTTAGTGAATTTTGGTGTTCTGTTAGGGCAATTACGTGTACATGTATACAATAAATTGTAAAACTCAGAATGTACATGTAAATCAGCAGCCATGCAGGGACTTTCTCAAGCAAACAGACTTTCCCAATTCATGATCAATGCATTTATAAATGCATAATTTCAAGCTTTAACAGTTCTCTACATAGAGATCTAGCTTGGGCAACCTTGCAAAAAATCACTCATCAGAGCGATTTGCATTGAGAACAGGTTTGTGAAAAATAAGCACTATGTGTTACATAGAAGACCTCATTACAGTGCCTACCTTCCAGGAAATACATAATAGTACATGTATCCCCAGCTTCTGAAGCACATTTGTCGAGCATAAGGAAATGAACATACAAGTCCAAATGTCATCATGGTTATCATTATTTTCATGAGAATGGTTAGAGGACAAAAGTATCCATGTCTTGGTAAGGGATTGAAAAAGCAAATACATGTTATCCCTAATGATGGTGCGTGCATCAACCAGTGTACATACAAGATTAGGATATGGAAATGGCGTGCAAGTAGAATATAGCAAGCTTGCTGAAGTCGTAAATTGATCCTTGTAATTGTACTTAGTTAATGGTGAGATTCTGTACAGTTGTAGTATTGTCAGAGAAAGATTTTGGCCAAAGCAGCCAGGCTTGAAGAGATAAAATGTCTAAAAGTTCCTTCAAATAAGAATGAAAGGTCCTCTACAAGTGGTTAGTTGTGTAGTAATAAATATAGTATAATTACTTGCTATTGCTCCAAATGTGTTTTTTTTAAACATAAATATTTGTATTAAATTTGGACATGAAAGAAAGAAATGAATTTTGAGTGGGCTGTTCACTTACTGCCATTAAATCACAGGCATTTTTTTATGATAACAACATTGAACTACACATGGGGAATGAGGAAACCGTTGTGTCGAGAAAGTTTAGTAAGAGGCAATTTAAGTTTTCTGCTCGTTAGTCATTGTTAATCATTAATATTAATTGTTCTCCCTCAGGTACCTCCAACGTCAAAATTCAGTGGTAAGTTGCATTTTAAATTCTTATAGCCTTTTTAGAGAATTGAAAGGTGTTTTTTTTCTTTCACCACACCCCGGAATTGAGAATAAAATCATAAGGAATGCTGCTCATTTTCAGGCAAGTGTTTTTCACACAGCACTATTGTCAGATCTCTCGAGTATGAGAAAGTGTCAAGCATGAAAAAAATTGCTGGAACCTGAGTGAAACTGTTACCACATTTCATCTACTATTGCATACTGATCTACAAATCTGTTCTGCAGTCATGGGTGTAACAGGAACCTGGTAAATTACAGTCCCAAAATTCAAATGGATAAAGGTATTTCTATTGTCAGTTGTGTCACAGGTGAGAATTCAGGATTCAATTATGATATTGCCATGTTTGTCTTGTTCCCTGTACAGTAATTGGCAACAGTAAGACAACTTCACATATTGATAAACGGGAACAGACTGTTTTCCCTTCTAGCCTCAGTTTGGTTACATTAGCTGTTTTCCAGTACTCAACTTCGTCTACGAAACCAATCCCCGATTGTGGGCCTGAAGTGTTCAAATATTAAATTGGAGTGCTGTAATGTTTGGTTTTTGCTTCCTATTTGATATTTTGTGGCATTATCAGACTTAATATTGCACTTACAACTTCAAAGTCAGGTAGTAAAAAAACAAAGTTGAAGCCTGAGATGGAGTTGAAGTCCGGTATTGGAAAATGGCCATTGGTTCGAATGGTAGAGAAACAAGATGGCTGCCCCATGACAGAGGTCTATAGATTGGACTGATCAGTCTGGCCAGTTATCCTTACAATAAAGCCAAGCCACAATGCCGATCCTCCTGCTAATCCACCAGTGCATTGTATGACTTCACAAGCATTTACTGTTAAAGGAAGTTTTCATTGATCAGCTTCAGCATATCAGGGATTATTCATCAATGGAGAACAATTTGTTCATCACATGAGGCAAATTTTCTTTTAGAAATCTAGTCTCCTCTGAAACCAGGAGTCCACTATGTTCATCCCAGCCAAACAGTCAGTGAATATGCAAACTTCCTGTGTGCCTGTTAAATCAGTTTAACTGGTTGGGGCTACGCACATGTGAAAGTCCAGCACTGGGCATATACAAGTACTTCGGTGGGCCCTACATACAGCATGAGACTGTCTAGGCCTGTCATGTATGTGTACATGTACATGTAGGCTTACTGGTACATGTAAGTGCCGACATGCCCATGGGCCTGCTCGCAGTCAAATCGTACAATAGGCCTATGGTTGAGCTGTTCTGTGAAATTGGACCCATGAGTATTAAATTTGTGGCTAAATGTGAACATGGTGAAATAATGCATTATAACAAACATATCACACATCTCTGTCATACATGTAGCCTATCCTCCATTGTTTGTGAAGTCCTCTTCAATTATGTGTGATAATGTTTGAATTTGTTACTTTGATGAATAAATAGGCTTAAGCTAGGCCTTGGCTTGAAAGATTCTAGGCCTAGCATAGATCCAGACCTAGGGCTAACTTTAATTGTTTTTATATGCACAATTACAAATATACGAGTCAGTGGGGTCCATTTTGCAAAATCATTAGGCTAGGCCCACCTATATCTTGTTGTAGGGGTGTGCCTCCGCGGGTATTTTTAAAGAGATTGCCTTATAACAAATGGCATTGTGCGGGACCCGGTGGATCATGTGCCCGAAACACGGTTCTATTTGGTACATAGGAAGCAAGCAGAACATTGTTCTAAACGTCGGAGTTAATCTCTCCTACCTTTTTATCAAACGAAACTGTTACCTTCAGTTTGCAAATTTTTTGTGGGTGTATGAAACAGAAAAACAAATCTTCTCGGGGAACGTCAGAAAAGAGAACAGAGCTGCAAACCACCTACATGACATACGCACCTGCAAACGCTCAAAGGAAATGTCCAGGATGCTGCATGACCACGCACACGCGGAACGCACGTGGAGTGCACAAATGGTGAGCGCTGGTTGTGTCACGTGCGGACCCGACACGTCACGGGTTAAAAGGCTTAAAGTTTTATGTACAAAAATACCACCGTAACTCGAACGATGCCCACACCATTACATCCACTTATTTTGAAGTTTCTGATTCAAAAAACCACTATCAAAATGCTTCAAACGGCGTTGAAAGTATCGGAAGTCTATAAAGGGTTAGGAGTCATCGCAAGTTTATTTCTTTTCTGACGAGGACCAGCACGTTGCATATCAACGTAGCTGCAACTGTGTAATCCTGGCTTTCAAGACGCTGAAACTAACCTGATTGCAACGCGGGCCCAATTGTAGTCCCCTTCAGGCAGCCCATTGGTGACACTACAGTGGCCATGTGATCGTAAAAAGAAAGGCCATGTGACCACACATAGGGAAGCCCAAGTGAAAAAAATAGCAGCGCTTCACGTTGTTAAATGACTAAGCGATACGAAAGTTTTGCCACACGAAGGTACGTACCACGATGAAGTGGTTTAGTTTAACAAATACTTTTTCAGGATAACTCCATTCCCCTGAGGTTCAGTTGTCGAGATTTTAATGTATAAGTACTTCGCCAAGTGACATTTGATTGGCCGACTGTATTATGACTTGCACCTGTTTACATTTCCTGTTTTTTCGAATGAAAAAATACTTGGATTTGAAATGCTTTAGTACATACAGAAAGCATCATTCCTGCTATTTTGGTCGATTCCTCATCCACAGTTCCACTGAATCACTGAGGAAATTCAAGTTGCTTTAATTTAAAAATAATTTTGAATGGAATATTTCTAGGTATAAAATTTAACTAAACTGGTTCTCTGACCCTTTGGGTTTGTAGCGCACATTGAGTGCTTTGATTATAAAAAGAGGCCGATCAACCGCGCAATTTGTGCGTGATCCCTACTTACCGCACGCCGTGTGGAGTCCCAGTACCGCTGGAATATTACACAGTCCGCTCTCGCTTCGTCGTCAATCCCGACATAAAGTAATTTTCTTTCATATTGTTTTATTTGACAAAAATACTCTTTATT